GCCGGGGGGAAACGCAGTTGAAAGCGAGCAAGTTGGTGGGTGGTGGAGGATCTGTGTGTTGGTGGGTCTTGTCAGCCTGTTTTCTACTAGCTATATAATTCTACATCTTCTGCTCTTGGGAGGCTGGAAAGAGGATGGCACCGGCATGGAGATCAGCAAGCTCCCCCCTGTTTTGATAGGAAGTTCGACCGTATATTTGGGTGCAGAAAATATAATCACGAAAGGTAGCTTGAGCTACCTGAGTTCTCCTTGCTTTAGCAAAAATGTATTACAATCAGGAGTTGGGATTGTGCATTGAGTTTGGTCCTGTAAGAGTTGATTCTGTTCGTGGGGGGGGGGGGGGCCCCTGGATCAAATCCCCCTTGCGCCGGTTCACGCCGTCATGGACTTTTACCAGGGGTGCTTGTGATTGGCTGCTACCTTTCGTTCACCCCCTCCTCTCTCAAGTGATTTTCATGCGGCCGAGCGTCCGGGGTGTTCGGGGTGTGTGGAACACCCACCCACCCACCGCGCCGGATGACGGATCGCGCGGGGTTCGTTCCGCCTCCGGCGGCGGCAGAAGGCCTTGGCCGCCCTGAATGATACCTGGCAGCCACCTCCAGTGAAAGACTCTCCAGAGGTGCGGCCGAAGTCAGATGGGCAGGTTCGGTGGCGGGCGAAAACTGACCCCGACCGTCCGGGAGACCCTTCGTCGTCGCCAGGAGTCCGCAATCGGCTTGCAGGTCAGGTGGAGTTGTGACCACCAGCACCCCCCAGTGGCGGCATTTTGTCCTGGGCAGGTCTGGTCTTCTGGTGCTTTGGATACCTCAAAATGGAGAGTCATGATTTTGCGTGACCAACTCGCGTCAACGGTGTGGTCCTGAATGTACGGCAAAGCATTGTTTTACTAAGGATTTGGCACTACTTGGCTTTAAGTCAACCCTTTTCACGAAAGGTAGCCCTTTGGGGGATACCTTGAGTTTGTCTTGCGAAGCAAGTGTTGGGACGTCCGGGTCTAATAATTGATCGCTCAATTCAGACCCCCCCCCCCTCTAGAATCAATTCTCTCCTGGAGAACGTCTTCGTGAGCCTCTCATGATTTCAGGATTGTTGAAACCCTCTTGAACATTTAGAAAGAGTGAAATTCTAATCACGAAAGGTGTTCCCCGAGGGGATACATACCTAGATTTTCTTTGTGAAGCACGTCAATTCTCTCCTGGGGAGCGTCTTCGTGAGCCTCTTATGGTTTCAGGATAGTTCAAATCCTATGATGTTCCGATTCAATGCTCACCGATGATCTGAGCCATGGGGCAAGTTTGTTTTCCTAAGAATCTTTTTGAACATTTCGAATTTCGAGAGCATATGTTTGAACATTTAGAGTGCATATGAACATATATTTACGAAAGGTCGCCTCCGAGGGGATAAATCACCATGTCGAACATTGCATTTTTGTTCCTGCCTCTCGCGTTCTCTTCTCTTCCCGCTGTCCTACCTTTCGTGTCTCCCTCCTCTCAAGTAAATTGGTCGACTGGGCTTCCAGGGTAGATAGATTGGGTCTATGCCATGAAAAACACCAGGTTTTAGTTTAGTGCATGATGATGGTTCAGTTGCAGGCCTTCTCATCTCTAAAATAGTGATGTTCTTGTCTACTGACTGTTACAGGTAATAGGACACACTCAACCTATAGACTATCCCAGGTTGGGTACCCCAGTAATGACGGATCCTTTTTCAGGTGACTTCACCGACCGACTTAACCTCTCTTGGCACGTGTCCCAAGCTACAATCCTATAAACAAATCCTTACAGAAAAACAGGAGTTCCTGACCGGAATCCCACGGTTTTTCGGCTTCTTCAACCTCTGGTGTTGACGTGTTTTGTTGACGTCCAGCCTGCTGGGCACTGCAGGAAACAGCCGTCCAGGGGCTCCAAAGAGAAGAGGGAGACAAAGACAGGTCACCTCTGGGGAGGAAGAGGAGCGAAGTTCGTTGGAAGAACATACACTTCTCTTTAATAAGGCAGGTCAACAAGCAAGCAGCTGATATCAACATCTGAATCGGTTTTTGAGCCATGGCGATGAGAATTTCAGCGCTGCAGCCAAGTGGCGAAGTCATGGTTCTTGAAGTCACGCCTGAGACAACAGGCCGGGCACTCAAGCAGCAGATCAAGGAGGGACAGCCTTGGGACGAGCTCACTCGCCGCACTACAGCTGTCGAGGTAATTGTCGGAGACAACCACTTGCTGGACAACGACTATGCAAAGGTATCGGACTCTGGAATCACTGAAAATGCTGTTGTGAGTGTTATCTTCAAGCCAAATGTAGTGATATGCTCCAACAAAGACGCGATCGCCAGTCTGGGTGGCATCGTTGACTGGGGACTGTTGCTTATGGTCGAAATCCCAATTGATAAAACACACATTCCTGAACGCGCTTTTGAAGGATGCCGCACGTTGGCCAAAGTGACAATTCCGCACTCGGTGACCCACATTGGGAATAATGCCTTTGAAGGCTGCAGCTCTTTGGTTGACTTGACCATCTCGGACTCGGTGACCCACATTGGGGATTATGCCTTTCGGGATTGCAGCTCTTTGGTCAACATGATCATCCCAGACTCAGTGAGCCACATTGGAGACTACGCCTTTCAGAGTTGCAGCTTGTTGGTGAGCTTGACCATTGCCAACTCAGTGACCCACATTGGGGAACGCGCCTTCGACCACTGCATCTCTTTGGAAAACTTGACCATCCCAGAGTCAGTGACGCACATTGGCTATTATGCCTTTCCATATTGCAGCTCTTTGGTGAGCTTGACCATCCCCAAGTCAGTCACCCACATTGGGGATGGTGCCTTTCGTGATTGCACATCTTTGGCAAACTTGACTATCCTGGACTCAGTGACCCACATTGGGGATTTTGCCTTTTCATCTTGCAGCTCTTTGGTGAGCTTGACCATCCCA